GACTGGCAGTGCTGCTTTAAGATTATAAGGAAATGTAAGAATTACGGAATCATAGAATGGTTTGGGTTGAAAAGGACCTTAAAGTTCCAATCACTGCCCATGGGCAGAGATGCCTTCCATTGGACCATGTTGCTCAGAGCTCCACCAAGCTGACCCTAAATGCTTCCAGGGATAGGGTATCAATAACTTCTGTGGGCAGCCTGTTCCAGTGTCTCACCATTCTTACAGTAAATAATTCCTTCTTCATATCTAATCTAAATCTATTCTTGCTGAAGTTTGAAACCATTCCCCTTTGTCCTGTGACTCTGTGCTCCTGTAAAAAGTCTCTTTCCATCTTTCTTGTCGGCTTCTTTCAGGTATTGGAAGGCCCCATTTAGGTTAGGTGAATCCTTTTCTTTTCCAGGCTGAACAGACACAACTCTCTCAGCCTTTTCTCATAGGGCAGATGCTCCATCCCTCTAATAATCTTTGTGTCCCTCCTCTGGACTCACTCCAACAGGCCATGCCCTTCTTATGCTGGGACCCCAGATCTGGCTGCAACACCGCAGGTGGGGTCTCAGCAGAGCAGAGGGGCAGAATCCCCTCCTTCACCCTGCTGCCCACGTTGCTTTGGATGCAGCCCAGGACACAGCTGGATTTCTGGGCTGTGAGTGCGCATGGCTGGGTCATGTCCAGCCATTCCAACATCCCCAAGTCCTTCTGGAACTGCTCTGGATCTGTTCATCCGCCAGCCTGGGTTGATACTGGCCAGCAGCACCTTGTACTTGGTCTTGCTAAAACTCATGAGGTTACCATGGGCTCACTTCTCAAACTTGTACATGTCAGGTTGTACCACGGAAAGTATGGAGAAAATATTTTCAGTTAGACTGATAATACTTGATATAGGTGATAGGTGCATCATCTGCTAAAAAAAAATAGTTTTGCAGAAAAATAGAAAAAATTACGAATAAACAGGGTTTCAAAAGCTGCCCGAACTCATACAATGAAATGACAATTTTATAGGATAAGGAAGTGGAACACATAAGCTTAATACTGTTCAAGACAACTTTTTAAAAAGACTTGGACGCTTCTGTGGAAAAGAGGGCAATAATAATGATAACGGCTGGAAAATGCCTCAAAGCCCGTCTACAGATAGAAGAGATACACCATGAGCACTGAGAACAATTTGAAATTGATGAATGTTGCTATAACACAAACACCATTTAGATCAGAAACCAGATAGCAACTCCAAGGTGGTGCACATTAATAACTCTTGATTGCTTTCCTTAACTGCTGCAAACTTGAAAGAAGCCTTATCATCTTAAAAGCACAGTAGCACCTGATACGGCGTTCTCTATTACTTACTGTGTTTATAACTTGTTTTATAGATTTGAGTCCCCCAAAAGCCTGCTGCAGAAAAATAAGGGTTGCAAGAAACAGTTCTTAGAGGCTGGCCTGAAGTCGATGTGCATTTTCCCTTACAGTGTTTTCCATATGGAAGACTTGTCCCCACATTACCCTCTATGTTCTGTGTTTTTGTTTATAAAATGAATAATGAAGCTTGTAAAACAGCTACAAGAAGAGAACTCCATTGTAAAAATCTAGTTGTTGGCTGGGTTTTGTTGTTGTGCATTTTTGATTTTTTTTTTTCATAATTGAAGTCTCTTTTTTCCATGACTCTTTTTCTAAGCAAGAAGACAACTTCAATTGATGGCCCCAGATCAATACCATCTCCTGTCTCCTACTTTGTCCAAACTAGTGAGTTTCTAGTTTACTTCTCAAAAGTTTGTAAATATTAGTGATTTTTAAATCAAGCTTGCCCTGCCTTTATTAACGTCTTGGAGAAACGGGGAAATCTTCATTCTTTGTTTTCTTGATCAAGTGGGCAGCAAATACTGCAGGAAAAGAACTCAAGAAATATCAAGCCTGCAAATTCCTTTACGGATGAAACATGAAGTGACATGTGACACTTCTCAGCCTGAATACACATAGCTAGGCTCTGGGCAAGCTTCTTCCCTCACAAGACACCTCTTTGACAGGAATAAAGTTTTTGTGTTTGGCATTCTGATTTTGGAGTGACCATTCAACCACAGTTAGACACAACAAAGTAAAAATAAAGGGCATTCAAATGAAACAACACTTCTCTTTGGGCATTTATTTTATTGGAGTATAAATATTTTTGAACACTATGCTTACATAAAATTAAATGCTTTATATACACATATAAAATAGAGAAATTAAGCACAAAACTTGAACATCATTAATATTTAAAACTCCTAGTATACAATCTAAAACCCTAACTTGAATCTGTGCCTTAACACTATTGGTATTTCACAGGTCACATTACTGCTAAAGTATGTTTTACACCATGAATATTTTTTCCATTCCTACATTTACCATTGTAATTGGTGCAAAAACACTTGCAGGCTGACAAAAACTGAGATAAGCAATGCAGGAGTTGAGGACACTATGGCTATTCCCTAATAACAGGCTTTCAAATTCACACAAATTTCCAATGTGGGACATTCTCCATATAGACAATTCATACCTGGTTTGTTTTTCTTTGAAGCCTAAAATGACCAACAAGAACCAGACTCAGAAACTTAATTTCCTAATGGCAAAATATTAAATCTGGTATTTTATACTTAAGATGCGTAACTGTGAACTAAATCCTTGTTTTATAAGTGTGTTAAATAACTTTGTCATAATGTCATTTTCCTATATTTGTCTCTTTCTTTTTACTTACCCTTCAATAAATATTGCATTCTGAACATTAGCATGAACCCTATGCATTACTATAATCTTATGAATTGTGCAAAGGATATGAGCATTTTTGGCTCTTGAAGGATTTTCTGTAAGGGCCACTTTCGTTGCTGATTACAACTTCTTCTCAATCACTTTCAGTGATGAAAGGCTCCTGTAGTGGGGGACATGGCTCAGGGCATCCATGTACTAAGAAAAAAGCAAACCCAGCATCTCACACAATTCAGCAGATGGAGGGGACAAAGGAAGGGGCAAACTTGAGTCACACATCCTTCAAAAGTGTTCAAATTAACCTTGCCTTTTTAGTGCCCACTTAGAATTTGTAGTGTGCTGGAAGAGCAACTAACTGGGATCGGAAAGTCAGAGTGTTCAACAACAAACGAAAAGCCTTCTAAAGCTTTTTTCAGAGTGGCACAGCATATTGATGTCTTTTTTCAAATCTGGAAAACAAGTAATCTCAAGCACTTCTTGCTTTCTAGTCACTGAAAGCTGGAATGATGGATTCCTATTCTCTTCTTTACTCATTATATTAACACCTTCCATGCACTTACCCAATTTTCTCATATTCTTATGCAGATTGGCTTTTTTTTCTGGGCAGATATACAATATTCTATTCCTACCCCTAGGTCAACTCACTGCTTGCTAGGGAACAGCAGTGTTTGTTCCATTCATGCTTTTTGCTAGTGGATGGCGCCAGTTAGAAAGAAATTAATGTTGCAACCACTTCTGCCAGCGGGATGCTAATTTGGAACTCTTTCCTGGGCCTGCTGTCTGAAAGAAAAACATTAAAAAAATCTTTTCAGTCAAACAAATCCCTTCTAAGAGAAATTAGGGCAGGCATGGTTGCACAAAAGCTTTTTCATCAAGCTATACAACTTGAGATAAATACAAACCTTGGAAACCTTGCAGATGACTTCCTCATCATCTGACTGATAAACTAACAGAACCTGTCAGGATTCCCACAGGACCCGAGGGAAGGATATGAGCTCTGCCAGGGGAGGTTTAGGTTGGGCATTAGGAAAATATTCTTCTCCCAGAGGCTAGTTGGGCACTGAGCTCCCCAGGGAAGTGTTCATAACCCACAGCCTGCTGAAGTTGAAGAAGTGTTTGGACAATGTTCTCAGGCACATGTGGGATTCTCGGGGTGGTCCTGTGCAGGATCCTATGATGATCCTTGATGACTCACTTCCAACTCAGGATATTCTATGATTCTACGAACCACATTTCTCTTGCACTTACCTTTTAACACTTACCAAAGCTTCAGGAGTTTAATTCCTGAAGCTGCACTTCTGCATTTCAAGTGTGCTAACGATTTACCATTTACCACAAGCGATTGATGTGTGTTGCTCAGATTAATCAATCTGTGCAACTGCTACGATTCCTGCACTGACACCCTCTCCTCAACCTCACCTGGACGCAAAATACTGCCTTAGCATGAAGATCAGGACGGTGATGGGGCACATCATAACCTCCCTATCGTGAGCTGTTTGCTTATTTGATATTAATTGAACCGAGCCACAGCATAAAATCTTTTGAAGTGTCCCCGTGATAACAGAAGAGAAAATATCCACAATACAGACAGCAGTGTAACGGAAACCTTTTAAAATAAATCTACGCATCCCTTTTTCCTTGTGCCTTCCACAGGTAAGCCAAGCTCCTTCCGACCTTGGGCAGCGGTCTCTTCCCGAGCACGGCCCCGCGGAGGCCGGCGGCGCTCGGCGCCCGGGGAGCGCCAGGCAGGAGCACCGGGCACGCGCCGCTTCCCACGCTCCCGCCGCCCGCCCCCGCCCCGGGGCCGGACGGACTGGATTTGCTTAGGTTTTTGGGGGTTTTTTTTTCCGGACCTCCACTCCGACCTCCGCACACCGGCGAGCTGGGAGTAGGGCGAAGGCCAGCCGGAAGCACCAAAAAAAACGCCAACCAAACAAAAAGAAACCCCAAACCCGAAGAGCAAAGCCACAGCTCCCAGAGCGCGGTGGCGCCGCCGGGAAGTCCCGGCCGCCGCGGCCCAGCCAGGGCACACGGGCCCGGCGGGAGCGCTGACGTCCTGCACCGCCCAGCCCCGCCCCATCCCGAGCGGTGCCGGACGCAGCCGGAGACTCCCGAGCTCCCCCCGCTCCCGGCTCCACCGCCCTTGTTCCTCGGGCGGGGACTCGCTTCCTTTCCCGACTCCCCCTTCCCACCCTCCTCCTCCTCCCAGTCAAGATGGAGGACGATGGTTGCTGCGGCCACTGGCACCGCTGTGGCTAGGGCAGCTGCTGCTTCTCTGGATCGCTCCTCGCTCCTTTAAAAAAAAAAGAAAAAAAAAAAAAGAAAAAAAAAAAAAAAAAAAAAGGAGAAAAGGAGGAAAAAAAAAAAAAAGGTTGGAAACGTTCCTTTTTTTTCTCCGCCCACTGGCTGCTCACTGCGCGGACCGCTGGCCCTTCCCATGCCGTCGTCGTCGTCGCCCTCCTCCTCCTCCTTCTCCTCCTCCCGCGATTGTCTGCGCTCCGGCTGCCGCCCGCCCGCCCGCCCGGACTCCCTGCATGCACACGCCGCCTCCTAGGTGGCTGCGGGGGGTGGGCGCTCCCGGAGCTGCCATTCCGCACATACCTTCATGTCCCTGCGCTCGCTGCGGCCGCCCGCCGCCGCCGCCCCGCATCGCTCGCCCGCTCCGGCTGCCGCCCTGACGGCCGCTCCCGCCTGGAGGTGAAGCCGGGATCCGCGGAGGGGGCGGCGAGGTCGGCGGCGGGTCTCGCCCGGTGGAGCCACCGCCGCCGGCACACGCAGCAGCAGCAGCAGCCATGAGCAGCGCCGCTACCGCCACCTCCGCCGCCACCACGGCCGGCAGCGGCGCGGGGGAAGGGGCAGAGGAGGCGGCCAAGGACTCGGCGGACATCGCGGCGTTCTTCCGATCCGGTGAGTGCGCTCCTGTCCTGGGGGAACAGAGGACCGCGAGACCGCGGCTGGAGGTAGAGGCGAAAGGTGGCCCTGGGGAAGCGACGTCTTCCCCCTGGAGCCGAGAAAGGAGGAGAGGGCAGCCGGCTTTGTCAGGTGGCCTCGGGGAAGACTCGCCCGCCTCTCGTCGCCGGGGCCGCCTCGGCACTGCCCGTCCGTTCCTCGGGGAGGCGGCGGGGAACAGACCCGAGCCTCCCGTCCCGTGCCGGGGACAGCGGGGCTTAGCCACGGCAACTCGCGGGCGGGACGCCACCCTCGCCGGCACAACCGAGGCGTGAAAACGGGGGCGGCGGCGGAGCGGCCCGGCCGGGAGGGTGCGGGGCTGCTGTCGCCCCGGGGCGGTGTCGCCGGTGACAGGTGCGATTCTGCCTCCCATGCCGGCCCGGTAGCGGGCGCGTCACCGGGGCCGGGCGGCACCACCCAGCGTCAGGCGGACCCGAGTCCCCCGAAAATGTCCTGCCGGGGGTTGCGGGGCGGGAGGCGGGTGGGGAAGCTGCTCCGATCCGGGAAGCCCGGGGTGTCTGAGGGGCGGGTAGGGTGAGGCGGGCCGCAGGGCTGCGGGGAGCCCGTTGCGCCGGCCGGGCCCCCCGGGGACGCCGGCGAGCGGGCAAGGATGACACCGCTATTAAAGGCAGCGCTCCTCCGGTGCTGTGCTGCTGGGTGGCGGCACAGGGCAGGGATGGGAGAAGCGGCATGGAAAGTGCATGTTCTAAGGAGAACCGAAAGAGGCAGACAAAAAGCGAAGCCCCTGTTAAGGGGTGTCGCTGCCTCGGCTGAGGCAGGGAAGCAGCGACTCTCGGGCGCTGCCGGGCTGGGAAGCCGGGCTCGGCGTGGAGGATCGGGAGGGGAAGGGGGGGAGCCTGTTGACAGGCTGCCGGGATAAAAAAAATGGAGGCTGCCTTCTCCCTCGGTGTTTACTCTCGGCACGCAACCGGGCGGAGAGGGCGGCTGCGCCCGCCGCCTAGACACTCTCCCCCGGGGGATAGCGGCGAGGAAGGCAGCACTGCCCGGGCCGCACGGACCGCCGGCGGCGGGGACGGAGCCCTGCCGGCAGCCTGGGCGGCGGCGGCTACAGAGCCTCCCCCCGGTGCCGGCTGCCCTCCCCCGAGCGGCGGCGGCTCCTCCCCTCCGTGCGCTCCGCCGGCGGCTCCGCGGCCCCCAGGGCACCCCCCGGCCGTCGCTCCGGGCGGAGCGGCCGGGCAGGGCTGGGCACTTGCTCCTTTTGGATGCCTAAAAAGGAGCGGCGAGCAAGGGAAATGCAGACTCACCGCAGGAAAGATGAGGGGGTTGGCCGATTTCGTGTGTGAAAAATAATGATGGCAGTAGTAATAATAGTAGTAAAAGCTGTGTTCACTGGGTTTTTAAGGAAAGTCCGCGAGGGAAGTGGGAAACGGCGTATCAGTGCTGCTTGCGGTCGGTGGTGCCGCTCAGTGTGTTTGGTTTCACGAGGGTGAAGGAGGAGGTGTGATTTGTAGCAGGCATCCTTGAAGCAGGGCTGGCAGCTGCGTTTGCGTGGATAGAGGGTCCGAACAGGGGGCTGTGTCCTCTCTGGAGGGCTTGATGCTCCCGAGGCAACCTGCTTCACATGAGAGCCATTGAGTGTGAAATTCCTTGTCAGGGTGCTGGCCTTGGTGGGTTTTATTGTGGAAAAAGGACTGAGCTTTATTGTTCCCAGGAAAAAATCCCGCTGAAAACAAAATGACAAATTAGAACAGTAGGCTTACACACAGTAGTCTGCCTAGTGTAGTTACAAATGGGTGCTTGTGTAGTAATCTTGCAGTTTTGGAAGACCCTGCCAGCTGGATTAATAATCAACTTCCACATTTATGTGTGGGTTGAGGGATGCTACAGCTGGTAAGCTCATAAGTGGTGCAGTGATGACTTCTGATGCTGATAGCTTCTGGTAACAGGGAAGTTGCACTGAGCTCAGTCTAGCAACATCTGAAAATCTTAAAGCAGTAGAAGGACATGCTTGTCAAAAAACTCTTAGAACAACTGGCATTCTTATTTCCATATTTACATGTGAAGGTTATCCTGTTCAGTCTGGGATCTAACATACACTGGAAAATGTTCTGGCATCTCTTGTGGGTGTTTGGCATTGAGAAGAGCTCTTTGAATTCCGCCTCTGTGCATGATCCACTCTTCTATAAGGAGAGGGTCTATTAAGAGATCTCCGGTGCTTCCCTTTGTTTGAACAAGAGGCACTTTTTTTCAGTGGAACACAAAGGGAGCAGAGATCAATGAATAAGGAAAAAACTTTGTTTGGTGCACTTAGGAGCAGACAAAATATTTTCTCTTTACAGAATTTACAATGACAAATGCTTCCTTTTTCCTGTCACTTGCAGAGTATATTAACAAAACTAGCTGTTACTTAAAAGAGTAAATGAGTAAAAATGTTGCAGTGTTTTCTAGGAAGAGAAAAAAAACCCCAAACAACAACAAAAAGCCTGCCTAAACAATCAGTTCTAATCTTGGGTTGGTTAAATTGGTCAGTTGAGCTGCCAAGTGGGGTTATTGGCTTTCCTCCTGTCCTTTTGTAAGACTGAGCTTGAAGTAGAATTAAAGTAGCCCGAAAAATAGAGTTTCATTACTTGGAAGATTTTGTTAGGATATTGAACAGCAGCTAGGTTCACATCACTTGAAATGTGCACATTTCCAGTTTTCACTTTGGTTATGTAAATTTAAACTCTTGAGTTGTTGGGGAAATAAAGTTGCAGTTGAAATGTGAGGAAAGCAGCTGAACTGGAAGTGAGGTGGTGGTAGTAGGAACACATAAAGACTCTGTGTCTTGAATGTAAATGAGGAATCCCTTTATTGGAATTGGAAGAAATTGAGGCAGCTTACTTTCTGTTACATATTTGGTATCTGAATCTCATTATTTGAAGTTGAAAAGAACAGAGTACCTTGTTAGGTCTGTCACCTTTGTGGCAGGATTAATAGCAAAGGAAGCAGAGTTGAGGGCCAGGCAAAGTGATTACATTTTGAAGGAGAAAACACAGGGTTGTAGGAAGTGCCTTTCTGTCCTATATATAAGTTGGAGATTAGAAATTGCTGTGTAAACTGAGAGTAGGATATGTTTTGAACTATAAATGTATAGACAATTATCCATTTTTTAATTAAAAAAGTGCACTGTTGTGACTTGAAAGTACTGGTAAAATATCTTGGAATTATGAAAAGAGATTATTACCATACAAAACTGCAGTAGCACAGAGTCTAAGTGGTTGTGTGGAGTGGTGTTAGTACATGTGTTAACTTTTCATAAAAAGTAGATCTTATATACTTATTAAGATAAAGCTTTTCAAAATGTGTTCTAAGTTTCAGCCTAAATTTCTGTGTATTTGAAAACAGCTGACATAAGCCAAGTTGAATTTGAGGGAGTGCCATCAAGTCATGGCTTACCGAGCAGTAACCATAGAGAGTTTGGTTGTTGTGGTTTAATTTTCATCTTTGCAGCTGTGAGTCCTCAGTACTTTGGTGAGGGGACTCAACTGACATCTTCAGGATGCAAGAATGAGGGCTGTCTGTTAAGTTTAAATCCTGTTATTATAAGAGTGTTTTTCAAACCAAAGTATTTTTGCTAGTTGAAGTTCGTGAATTTAGTTTTTAGACATAAAGAACAAAACATTTTTCATCCAAGTAAAAGATATGTTGATCAAACTTCTAGTAATTAAAGTTACCCTTCTGGTATGATGGAGATACCTGCGAATGCAAAATGTTGCAGAGAAAAAAGCTTGTAAGCACTTCAGTCAACCCTTGGCGAGACAGTGTAGGGAGTGCCTTTATAAATTACTCTGATAAGTCTTCATGGGAAAAAAACCAACCGACTGATAACTCTTCACAGTTGTGAGATGAAAGTGGATGTAGTTATTTCCTGTAAGATACATTTTTTATGAGTGGCCTCTACAAACTGCAGTAACTTCATTCATATATGGACAAACAATACAGTTTTCAAAGCCGTTGAGGAGATGAGTGTTGTCACCACCTGTTTATGTGAACACTTGCCACATGCCTGGAAGGAGCACAATTTACATACTGAGCAATGGAAAGGGACTGGTTGGAGGAACAAAAGTGTTTGAAAAACAAAGGAAAAACAAGGGCCCCCAAAACTCTTGTCGTTAAGATGAATAACGGTCCAGGCTTTGCCAGGTCAAATCCGAACATAATTGTACTTAATTCCTTGATACAGGAAAACAAAGAAGTGGAGAATTTTCCATCTAAAACCTAATCTACACAGGTGGCAGCAGTCCTTTCTCAGGAGAAGGATGTGGGTCTGGAGGAAGTGGTTGTTCCAAGTAGAGTTCAGTGTGCCACCTCTCTCAAGGTGAGGTTGGAGAACAGATTGGTAGCCAGAATAGCTTTAAATAGCATCTGGTTATAATGTTGTACACTTAGTGTATCCTGCTTGTGCATGTGTTTCTTAATGTAAGCATAATGATAAGAGAATTTAAAACTTTTGTTTGAGATATCTGTGTTTAGGTACCAAAATGAACATGTGAGTATTTTAGGAAAACAAAATGCTGAGATTTGTTGTGGTGGTGGATATTTGAAGACTTATGCAAGTACTAGTAATTTGAGACTTCCATTAGTCTGGGTTTGACTAAGTTTGCCTATAGCAGCCTATGCTGGTAGTTGCTTGAATAGTTGAGACCTTAGAAGAAGTCTTAATGGGTGTCATGAAAATATGATTGGTTTTCTTATTTTTCTTTTAAATAACGATCTTATTGTTTGCTTAGTTTTCATGAAAATCACTTAATACTACAAAGATAAAAGCTAGCATTTAGGAGTGTTATTTCAAGTTTACAAGGAGGACTTATGTTTTATTTCTTCCTGATTATATTGCTTTATATACAGTTACCTTGCTTGTTTTGTATTAGTGTTCTGTGTGATAGTGACTGGGATAATTGACTGCATGTAGTGGACAGCATTGAAAATGCTATCACAGTAAGGAAAGGAGAGAGGGT